CTTTTTAAAAATTAAAATAAAAAAAGACTTAAGAGGGGTGCCTGAGTGGCTCAGTCAGCTAAGCATCCATGGACTCATGACTCTTGATCTTAGCTCAGGGCTTGATCTCAGGGTTGTGAGTTCAAGCCCCATGTTGGGCTCCATGCTGGACATGGAGCCTACTTAAAAAAAAAAAAAAGGCAAGAGAAAAATCAGCCAAATGTAATTTGTGGGCATTGTTAGAATCTTAAGTTGAAAAACCAACACTGAAATCCAAACCAAATCAAAACAAAAGTATGTATGATATAATCCAGGGAAATTTAGACAATGGCTGGATATTGGATGATTTATATTTCTTAGGTGTACTGGTTTGTTTTAAAAGTATTCTTATTTTTAAGAAATATTTATAGAGGTATTCTCTCTATTCTCATCCCAAGATGATTCTTGGGATTTGCTTCAAAATGATCCAATAGTGGTTGAAGGGGTGGGAGTGGAGGACAGACAGCAGGAAAGGATTGAAATAAAAGAAGATTGGCTATGGGTTGGTGAAATTGTCAAAGCTGGATGGTGGTCACGTGGAGATTCATTTTATTATTTTTCTACCTTTATACAGGCTTGAACTTTTCAATAATAAAAATTAAAAGATAAAAACAAATGTAAAAAAATTCATCGAAGGAGTACCTACTCTAGCTGTCAGCTGATAGATCACTAAAACTAATTTTTTGATGATTTATCACTGTGTGATTTTTGGGCATATACCTTGAAAGGACTGAATGACTGACGTTGGTATAATAAGCCTGTTTATATGAACAGTGCTTAGATGTGTAGAAACAAAAACAAGCAATGAGAGTTTATACTGAACTCTTTCATATTAGCAAGAGGTAATATAATATTTATTCATGAATGCATGAGCAAACAGGAAAAAAGAGAAAAGCCCCATCCATTCTCTTAAGAGACCTGTGTTTTCAACAATTTTTTTCTTTTTATGTTTAATAGTTGTTTATATTATTATTTCTTTTTAGAGAGCGGGTAGGGAGAGGGAGAGAGAGAATCCCAAGCAGGCCAGAGTCCCAAGCGCAGAATCTGACCTGGGGCTTGATCTCACAACCCTGAGATCATGACCTGAGCCACAATCAAGAGTTGGTTGCTTAACCAACTGAGCCACCCAGGTGCCCCAGTTGTTTATATTATTTATCAAAGTTTGTAATATTTATGTATTTTTGATCAATTGTATACTAATACCAACTGTACAAACCGAATCCAAAAGAAATTTTTAATATTTGGAGACTTCGGGATCAGGAAAAAAACTTTAAAAATTACACAAAGAGGGGCCTGGGTGGTGCAGTCAGTTAAGCGTCCAACTCTTGTCTCAGCTCAGGTCATGATCTCTGGGTTGTGAGATGGAGCCCGGTGTCAGACTCCGCACTCAGTGGGGAGCCTGCTTGGGATTCTTTCTCTCCCTTGCCTTCTGCCCCTCCCCCCACCCTCCCTTTCCAAATAAATAAATCAATCTTAAAAAAATAATTAAAAAAATAAAAATTACACAAAGATAAAAATCTAAGAGGAAATGTAATGGAAATATAATTCCAAGAAGAGAAAGGAATGATATAAGATAACTTATAGTTACAGAAGAGGTTGTTCATGTACTTTTAAAAATAGATGATAGGGTTGGGTGCCTGGCTGGCTCAGTCAGTAGAGCCTGCGACCCATGATCTCAGGTCGTGAGTTCAAGGTCCACGTTGGGGACAGAGGTTAACTTAAAAAAATAGGCGATGGGGTATCAAGTTAGAGCATTAAGATTATGTAGATATATTTAAAAGAATGATGTAACAGTTTTATTTTGAAATGTTATTTATGATATACTGGAGAGCTGCCCTCTGCGCACCCAGCAGTGCATCAATATCATATGATGTACCGGAAATTACTTCATTTGCAATTCTTTATACTTAGTTCAGAAATGTTAAATATTAACTAAAAATATGTAGGGAGACTATTTTGTTTTTTTTCTTTTATGGAATCTTTTTATTGAGTAAAATCCACATAACGTAAAATTACCATTAACCATATTAAAGCATACAATTCAGTGGTGTTTAGTATGTTTATAATATTGTGAAACCACCACCTCTATTTCAAGACATTTTCATCATCTCATTAAGCAATAACTTAATAACCCACCTGTTTCCTGGCAACCACTAATCTGTTTTCTATCTCTATGGATTTACCTATTGTGATGTTTCCTATAAATGGAATCATGCAATATTTGACCTTTTGTGTCTGGTTCCTTTTACTTAGCATAATGTTTTTGAGGTGTATCCAAGTTGAGGCATGTACAAGCACTTCATTCCCTTTTATGGTTGAAAAATATTCCATTGTCTGTATATACCCCATTGTGCTTATTCTTTCATCAGCTGTTGGACATCCATCTTGTTCACACATTTTGGCTAATATGAGTCACATTGCTATGAACATGAGTGTACGAGTATTTGAATATTTGTTTCCCATTCTTTTGGGTCTCTACCTAGGAGCAAAATTGCTGATAATTCTTTCACTTTTTGAGGAACTGCCAAACTTTTCCATAGCCACTGCACCATTTTACATTTCCAGCAACCATGGGTTCCAATTTCTCTGCCTCTTTGAGAACTCTTGTCATTTTCCATTAAAAAAAATTGTGACTAACCTGGTAGTTATAGAGTGGTATCTCACTGTGGTTTTGATTTGCATTTCCCTAATGATATTGAGCATCTATTTACGTGCTTGTTGGCCATGACTACCTAGTTTTTACAAAATTATTTTAGGAGGTGTGCAAGCAAAAATGTTATGGTCCACAGCTGTAGGCGTAAACCACTGTGTTTCTGAAGATCTTGTCTAGTACCCTTCTGTTCTCTGGCAGCATTGTCCTCTTGCCTCAAGGCTTTGTGACACTTTGTCTGAGTGACCCTTCTTCCATCTAGAGGTGCAGAACTAAAAATAAAAAATACTTTCCTTCTCAGTGGGGTGGCTTGAGGGTCTGTGCAGACTAAAACTACAATTTATTTTTTTTATTATTTTATTTTTAAAAGATAAAATAGAGAGACACAGAGAGACAGCGAGAGAGGGAACACAAGCAGGGGCAGAGGTAGAGGGAGAAGCAGGCTTCCCGCCGAGCAGGGAGCCTGATGCGGGGCTCGATGCGGGGCTCGATACCAGGACTCTGGGATCATGACCTGAGCCGAAGGCAGACGCTTAATGACTGAGCCACCCAGGTGCCCCTAAAATTACAATTTATGATACCAAATCTTTCTCTGCTATCTGCTAAATGAGCCCTCTTATGTTTTGAAGACATTTAATTTTGAATGCCAAAGTTAGCTAGCCCCTTGCACATAGTGAGCTTTTTACATGCTTATTTGTTTGTTTGACATGAAGTCAGAAGGGACCTTTGGCTGTGCAAACTGAGAAGGAGTGCTCTGGGAAAGACATTTCTGTGTCAGGCTGGAGGAGAGTGAGGAAATGAGGGCGC